ATAATATTAATATTTATTTTTAAAAAAATATTAAATTTAAAATTCAAACTGCACGTTACTAAAATATCATTAGTTTTTAAAAAGAAATGTGACTATTTTAAGTCATTCGGCTAATTTACCACTTGATTGGACTTGGCATATTAGTGTTCGTATATTCGTACCCACAAGTTGAACTAGTTCTCGAGAGACCCTTTTGTATTTGGAGAAATGTAGAAATTTATGGAAAAAAGGGTAAGCAAGGAAAAATACGTTAATAAAAATTAATTAAATAAGGTAATTTAATGCATTGGACCTATTGAACGTTATCTGTTACAGCGTATTTAACAGTTTTCAAAATCAAACAACGCTCACACGAGAGACCCATGCACCAGGACAAAGCCACATGGTGGGACCCGGTTGGTACCTTTAAACTTTAAAGTTTAAAGTAGGTTTAAAGCCAACTGTCATCCCTCTACTTTAATATTTTATTCGTTCTTGTCCCTCTACTAAGGACATGTTCGTTGTCGTCCCTCTACTCTACCAAAGAGCCAAAACGTCGTCCCTCTACTTTGCTTTTTTTGTTCGTTGTCGTCCCTCCCCTAACACCGTTCATGTTGCCATCACTGCTGACCGTTAAGTCCTAAACGGTCAGCAGTTAAACCCTTTTTTTTCCACATATGCTGCCACATGAGATGCCACCTGTACAATAGGGACCACTTTGCAGCAGCATAAAACCTCGTTTTCTTCTTTTAAATTTGGCAACCGTCTTTTTGTATCTCTCCTCTCTCCCTAAATTAGGAGATACTTGGCACATATCCAGCCGAAAAGTTTATTAATTTTCAAGTCATCTCAGGAACAAAAACAAGGCGGATTAGGATGGTGCAGATGGATTGTTTATTTATTCTTAAAAGAAAAGATCACATGGATTCCAGAAAGTGGAGAAGGAATCAACTATGCTTTGCTTTGCTTGATTAAGTCCTAATCATTGTTATTATATACAGGAAAAAATGTCCATCCCTTTATCTTTTAAAAATTTTTAAGAAGACCATCTTAAAATTAGATTGCTTTAATAACAAAATATTATATTTTAAAAGCTTAAACTATACTATTTTTAATTATTTATCTTGATAATTTATTAAAACGAGATAATTTTAAAATGATTATTTTTAATTTTTAAAAAGTAACTAAATAAACACTAATCTCGTTTTATATTTTTATAAAGTTGATTACTAGAATTTTAACTTAAACCAAAATTAATTATAGGTTAGTTAATGCTTTTGTTTCTCTGTCAGCATGTGTCCTCAATTTTTTTAAATTAAACAGATTGAAAAAATTAAGGGGATTTCGGATTCCAGCAGCAGGGTCTTAATTAATTGATTTTTGAATGTTGGAGACATGATTCTAATTCTGACTAATTCTTCAGTGCATCTCGATTGC